GCATCACTATCGTCGCTACCATCATAACCATCGTTATGTATATCAACAGAATCATCAGCAGCCGCATCAGCATCATCATCACCATCATCAGTAGAATCGTCGTCATCGGAATCGCCATGTTCATCGTCAGCGTCATGATCATCATCATCATCATCATCATCATCATCATCATCATCATCATCAACAGCAGCAGCATCATCAGCATCATCAGCATCATCATCATCATCATCAGCATCAGCATCAGCATCCTCAGCAGCAGCAGCAGCATCCCTCCTTCCCTCCCTCCCTCCCTCCCTCCCTCCCTCTCTCCCTCGTTCCCTCACTCCATCCACCCCTCCCTCCCTTGCCGTCGTCGTTCTCCATACTCTCGGCGGGCCGTCGAGGACATGGCGACCCGCATGTTTACGGTGGCTGACCCTCAGACGGGCGAGAAGCTCCCCGAGGACAACATCAAGAACCAGGCTCGGGGTCGTGGTTCCTCCTCCTCCCCCTCCTCCTCCCTCTCCTCCACCTCCTCCTCTTCCTCCTCATCTTCGTCTACCCTTCTCCATCATCATCCTCATCATCATCATCAGCAGCAGCAACATCACAAGCAGTAGCATCATCACCCATCCATCCATCCTCCTCCTCCTCCGCCTCCTCCTCCTCCGCCTCCTCCTCCTCCTGTGAGTTATACGTGAATGATCTATGCGCGCTCGTAATTAGTTTTTCGGCTCAGACGCATGAGGCCAGAGGTTGGCATCGGTCTCTTCGCAGTCGGACTTGCGAGGGAGCTCGCTTCGCTAGCTTCACTTTCCGCACGACACCAGTGCCCAGACTGTTTCTGTGATTGCCCTCGGCCTTCGGAGTGTCCGAAGGCTCCTGACTGTGTGTGTCCGCCGCCGTTGGAACGTCCTCCCGTGTGTGAGGTGCCGCCTGATTTCTTCAACAGGACGGGCTTCGTCGCACCCACGGACGACACCGTCTCCCTTGCCAACATCGGCCTCTTGGGAGTGCTTCTCGGAGCAGCGGTCGGAGGTCTGCTCACTCGGTTGTGTTGTCCTCGTCGTGTTGCTGCCCCTCGTCGAGGAGGGTACGGTCGCATTGAACAGTGATGGCGGGGGCCGTGGAGGCTCTGCCAGGTGGCTATGCCATCTACTGGTACGAAGGGGACGATTATGGTCATGAACGGATTTTGCTGAGGGAAGTTAAGTCACTGGATGACAGACGTATCTGGGTTGGGGCCTCGCCTGACTTCGATGTCTATGCGGAGGAGTGGGACACCACGGGAGATCGCGGGCCCATCAGAGTAGAGCTGTTGAAGGGTCGCACTGTGCCAAGGGGTTTTCCTAGGCCCATCTATCGCTTCGAGCAGAAGGTTCCCTGGGACAAGTTCACGGAGCTTAGGGCCGAGGCGTCGCAGATCATCGTCGACGAAGTGCTCGAGGAGATCGCTCACGCGAGAGTGCAAGATGACACGTTCGCGATCAGGAACTTCCGTCGGCCCCTCCTTGGATCACGAGGTCCTGCTCCTCCATTGCCGCCGCATGCAGATGGGCAGGCTGACCCTGCTGACGCTCTTGGGAGTGACGGGGCCTGGGTCGCGTCGGAGCCCGTCTTCGACGGGGACCAGGAGGTGGCGAGGATCGGCACTCAGGTCGCCAAGGAGTCCGTGGCGAGCAGGCCGGGGAACCGCGGGTTCGCCAAGTTTGGCTCGGTCGTCGCGGCGCTCGAGCGGATCAAGGTGGAGGAGCTCGACGGCTACTTCGCGGGCCGCAAGAACCTGCTCCTGGTGGGCCTGGGAGGCACTCACACGCCTGAGGAGCGAGAGGGAGCCCTTGGCTCGCCCACAGGCCTCCAGGCCCTTCGTGGGGCCCTTGCAGGCCCACAGCTCCCTGGAACGGGTGAGGAGCCTGACAGGAAGACAGACGAGGACGTTCGCACGCTGTCGGTGAAGTTCAACGCCTTCAACCGCAGGGAGCGCGTCTGGGTGGACTCGGTCAAGGAGATGGTCGAGGACGCCTTCTCGGACTGGCCTTTGGATGGTCCTCGCACGTTCTTGCGGTTGATGATGTCTTTTGCTCAGCTCGCGATGGTGCCCACGTTCTGGCTGGAGCGCCACATCCAGACGGCGGGTTGGAGTGAGAACGATCGCTCCATTCATGAAATGCGGGTGATGGCGGAGGTTTTCGAGCTGGCTATCTCTCACGATCAGCTCAATGTGGCTTCGCTCGCGGCCTTCGAGAGGTTGGGGCGGAGATGGCAAGCTATACTTGAGGCTCATGGTAAGAACCCCATGAACCCGAACTACGAGATTGCTGATAAGTTCTCGGGCTACAATCGCCGCACTCAGCTTGTGGCGCCGGCGCTTCGCACCTACGTGGCCAAGGAGGTGCGAGAGGAGGCGGAGATCGACAAGCAGACTAGCAAGGCCAAGGCTCTGAGGGACGAGGCCAAGGTCGCCCTCAAGCGCGGGAAGTCCGCTGGGAAGGGCAAGGACAAGGAGGATAGCAAGGATGAGTGAGGCCTCCTTCCTTGCCAGCAAGACCGTTGATAGTGCGCGCCGCAGTCGCCGCGCGGCACGCACGCTGACCGGCGAGAGCGATGCGCAGGAGGCACGACAGGCGCCGCTGTTTCCGCTCGAGTTTTGCGACCACTCAGTTCCTCCGTCGACGCGTCTCTCGAGAAGGTGCAGACGGAGAGCGAACCTCAGGAGCCATCAGTCACGTGAGTCCGGGGAGGTTTTGACGGGCCTCAATTGGCTATAATCCCGAGCTGCGAGCCCTCTCGTTCGCCAAGAAGTGGTGGGCGAGATTCATGATTTTGTCGCGGGACGAGTTGCCCAACAGCCGCCTGTGCCGCCTTTTTTGGATAAGGAGGGAGCCGTGCGCGAGCTCCTCCAGAGCAAGTGTGGTTATGACCACACAGCTTCCACGGTCGTCGAGTTCGATCGAGCCCATGTCTCTCTGCCCGAAGGAGTCTAGGACAGGAGGTTACTTCAAGACTTGGCTTCTCAGGAGGACAGGGAGGCGGTGGTGAACTTTAGGGAGAGCATGATGAGAGATGTGAAGGAAGTGATGCAAATGAGAGACTACGGCGAGTCTATTAACCCGTATTTTGACCAGAAGCTTCGCCTTCGACGGCACGAGTACGTACGCTTTCTGAAGATGTTGCACAGGCGTGGTCTCATCAGGTGGTCGACTACGCCCAAAGAGATTGCGACCCCGTTCTTTGTCCGAAAAAAGGATGGAAGACAGCGACTTATCATCGATGCAAGACGTACTAATCAGCTTTTCCGAGATCCTCCTATTATTCTACTGGCCACGCCCGAGAGTTTCGCTCGCCTGGAGGTCGAGGGAGGAATTGAGCTTTTTGAGGCGTCTCTCGACGTGGACAATTGCTTTCACAGAATCGGTATAGACAGCGACTTGGGCGATTATTTCTGCTCACCCCCCGTTCGCGCACGAGAGCTAGGCTTGGCACATGTTCGGAGACGGGAGGTTCCTGGAGACGGGCTTGTGTGGGCCGCCATGGCTGTGCTCCCCATGGGCTTCTCTTGGTCGGTCTTCTGGGCCCAGCGTATCAATACTCGCCTGGTTCGGGAGGCTTCAGGAATGGAAGGCTCTGTGGCTGTGGAGGACAGGGGGGGCGGGCTCATCATAAGTAAGGACTCCGCGCCCGTCTTTTACGTGTATGTGGACAACGTGGGGGTCTTGGGGGCGGACAAGATTGAGGTCCAGAAGTCGCTTGATAACATCAAAAACGTTCTTAACTCCAACAAAATGCAGTGTCACGAAGTCCAGGAGGCAGGCCAAGTTCGGGACGCTCTTGGGATCGAGTTCAACGGCGAACTAAAGTGTTTCAGGCCCGCTGGGAAGCGATACTGGAAGATTCGTTGGTCTCTGGAGGCTTTCTTGAGGGCGCCCAAGGTAACGGGAAAAGCCCTCGAGGTTCTTCTGGGCCACTGCACCTACCTCGCTATGCTCCAGCGCCCTCTTCTCTCCTGCTTCGCCTCGGTCTACAAGTTCGCTCGGCGGCACCGTCACTCGCGGGCTCCACTGTGGCCAACAGCACGCGAGGAGCTCGAGGCTTTCTTCCGCCTCATGCCTCTTATTCGCTCAGACTGGTCCCGCGGTTGGCTTGGAGAAGTGTTGACGTATGACTCCTGCCCTGAGGGTGCTGGAGCTTGCGTTGCTACTAGGTCTCCTGCCTGGGCGGCCGCTCAAGGGAGAGTCCAGGAGAGAGCCAGATTTGTTCGTCGGGATGCTGCGCAGGCTGGCGGGCATGCGCTTTCCTGCCTCGACCCTGATGACCCCCGGGTGTTTGTGACGCCGCCGCCGTCGTTTGAGGACGTGTCGGAGCTTTGGGAGCAAGATTTGTTGTTTCCTGAGATTCCGCTCGAGGGGCTTGTGGGAAAGGACTGGGAAGTGCGATTCTGCCGTTCTTGGAGAAGAAAGATGACTGTGCATGAGGGGGAAGCCAGAGCTGGAGTCCTTGGGATCGCAAATGTGGTTCTGGAACCTGGGGCACATAGCTGTCGTCTGCTGGCCCATGGGGACAATCTCGGTGTCACGCTCAGCTTTGCAGATCCAGGGCCCGTGCCTTTCCTCTGCTGGTACAGGTACGACGGGCGGCGGCGCTGGCGCTGTCGCGAAACCTCTCAGTGGGGCCCAGGTGGATCCCGAGTGAGTTCAACAGCTCCGACAAACCTTCCAGGGACCCCGGGCTTCAGCGGGGGAACACGGCCGAGTTGAGCGTCACTCCTGATATACGCCGTCTCGCTCGAGAACGGCAAAGCTCTGTAGCCGTTTTGGCCAAGCATGAAGACCCACCATGCTCTGCTTCTTTACTTGATTGGGCTCGACATGTCCTTGGTGAGGAAGGCCAAGAGAGCAGCTCCGACGGAGGAGAGGGAAGTTCGTGTGCTTCTTCGTCGTACGGACCCGCTGCCTCTAGAGAAGAGGTGGCAGGCTACTTTACAGCAGCGACGCGATCGCCCCCCCTTGCCCGCGCTGCTGGAGGAAGCGGAGAGGGATGCCAACCGTCTGGAAGCTTCGGACGGCACGACCTCGGAGGAGGATGGCAACCCGCTCGTGCAGGATCGCGTGCTGAGGCGAAAGATCCACCATGCGAAGATGGCAGAAGAGCCAGGTATGAAGCACGTTTCGGTGCTAGAACGAAGCTCGGTAGGAGAACGAACCTGGGCGCAATATCGAAAGCTATATCGAGGCCTGGTGGGCTACGTCGACGAGTGCAAGCTGAACACCGACAAAGTGCAGGACTTCGACGTGGCCATTGTCTCCTTCATGACCCACATGTACATGCTGGGCTACGACGCGGGCATCGGCCAGAAGTTGATCGCAGCCGTGGTGTTCTTTCAACCTCGCTTCGGCAAGCTAGGCGACCTTTCTCTTCCGCGAGCCTGGCGGGCTGCCAGGGGCTGGGCCAAATTGGACCCGCCACGCAGTCGGCAGCCCTTGACCCTGCCGACGGTTGCAGGGTTGGCCGCGTTGCTGGCCCACGAAGGTCACCTGGACATGGCCATCTGGACGATCATCGCTCTCTGCACCTACCTGCGTCCAGGCTCTATGATGCAGCTCACCAGGGGCTCGCTGGCCCCACCTACCATGAAGGTCGACACCCTGTGGCGTGTGCTGGCGCACAGGTCAGACCTCCACCAGGTCTCGAAGGTGGGAACTCAGGACGACACCATCTTGTGGGACACTCAAAGTTTTGAATGGATGGGCAAAGTTCTTCAGATTCTAGCCGTCGGAAATCGTAATGAGTGCTTGTGGCATTTTACCTATCCAGAGTTAGTACGTGAAATTCGTAAGCAAGGCCGACGGCTCGGCCAAGACATTGTACCCTACCAGTTGCGCCATGCGGGCGCCTCCTGGGATATGTGTATATATATATATATATAAAGCATCGCAACCTGTACGAAGTGCAACGTCGTGGTGGTTGGATGTCTACCAAAAGTGTGCAGCGCTATGAAAAGTCAGGCACGATGATGAAAGACTACGCCCTGCTTCCCCTGGCGCTGCGCTGCTGGCTCGAGGAGCAGGCACACGCGCTCAAGGACTCGATCCTCAGAGGCCACGCGGTGCAGCCGCCGCCGCCGCTTGTTTTCAGTGCCCGTGGCAAGCGTGTAGCTACTCCTCCCAACACAGCAAAGTAGGTGACACATCATGTTATGGGTGATATGGGTGAGTGTGCGCCGCCGTGCCTCTGCTCTCCCACGCTCGTGTGCAGTCAGACTCCAGACGGCGCTGGCATCAGACACTAGGAAACTGAGAAACAGAGCACGGGGGGATCATGTGAGTTATACGTGAATGATCCATGCGCGCTCGTAATTAGTTTTTCGGCTCCCCGTGGCCTTACCCAAGCCGTTTTCATTCTTTCACATCGGGTGAGTGTGCGCCGCCGTGCCTCTGCTCTCCCACGCTCGTGTGCAGTCAGACTCCAGACGGCGCTGGCATCAGACACTAGGAAACTGAGAAACAGAGCGCGGGGGGATCATTATCCTCCTCCTCCTCCTCCTCCTCCCTCTCCTCCTCCTCCTCCCCCTCCTCCTCCTCCTCTTCCCCTCCTCTCTCACCCCTCCTCCTCTTCCTTCTCCCTCCTTCTCCTCCTTCTCCTCCTTCTCCTCCTTTTCCTCCTGACCCCTCCCCGCGGGGCCTCTCCGAGCTGCCTCCCCAGCTGACCCAAGTCGGCCTCGCGGGCGAGGGCGCCAGGGATAGCGGGAGGAACAGCTGGGCCAGCATTTCTTCACCAAATTGCCGGAAAGTTGGCCCAGTTTCTTATGCACGTCCACCCTTGCAGCATTAACCGAAAATGCTGGCCCGCGCTGGTTTCAAGAAATTTCGGGAAGCTGGCCCAGATGTCCGAAGCCATAACTGTCTTACTCATGTTTTTAGTTGTGTATATATAGTATGAAGTAAGACCCCCTCCCACCCCCAGGGTTCCGACCCGCACCTCGATGACATTTCGGGCCGATCGATCCTGGCACCGCCCTCTGAGGTCTCCCGGACGGCCCCAGGAGGGCCTCGGGACGGCCCCGAACGCTTCTGAGACAGCCCGGAAATGCTTTGAGACGGCCCATGACAGTCCCGACGGCCACGAGACACGAGACCCACACGAGCCCCCAAGAAGGCTTCAAGAGGCCCCCAACATCGCCCAAGAGACCTCCAAGGAAGCCCTCGAGAGGCCAAAATCATTAGAAAACCTAATGACATGTATGATTTGTGCGTTGTGGCGTTTTCGCCTCCGATGCGCTTGCGAGGCTTGTGCATGACCCCCACGAAAGCTCCAAGGTTCCTCCACGAGACTCCCCAAGCGACCCCAAGAGACCCCAAGAAGCCCCCAAGACGCTTGGCCCTAGAAGGAAGGGGTCCGGACTTAGAGACTGGAGTAAGAGTTTGTTTCAGAAGACCATTTAGTCTGATTCAGTGGGAGGCTTTTCGGTGGCCTCTTGGAGGCAGCTTGGACGCCTATTGGAGGCCGTCACGGGCCATTTGGGGCCTCTTGGAGGCTTCTTGGGGGCCTCTTGGAGGCATCTTAGGGGCCTCTTGGGGGCCTGGTGGTGCATTCTCAGCGTTTCTTGGGGCCTCCTGGGGGCCTCTTGTGGCGGAAGGCTCGGATTTTCGGTTCGTGTTCCCTCGTTGGGTCCCGTTTGGGGGTTGTCTTGGGACCTTCTAGGGCCGTTTTGGGTGCCTCTTGGGTTGTCTTGGGGCCCTTTGGGTCCGTTTTGGGGCCCTCTTGGAGGCCTCTTGGGCAGTCCTGGGGCGGCCTTGGGGGCTTTCAGGGCCGCCTGGGAGCGTCGGGGAGCCGCAAAGGCGAGAACGCCAAAATCTTTCAAAAACCGTAGGGAAATGATTTTGGCCTCTTGGGGCCCTTTTGGGAGGCCTCTTTGGAGGCCTCTTGGGCCGTCTGGGGGCCATCTTGAGCGTCTTAGAGCGATCGTTCGGCGACTCGGGGCCTCATTGGACCGTCTTGGGGGCTTCTTGGGGCCCTCTTGGCCCGTCTTGGGGCCCTCTTGGGTCCGAAACGGTCGTGCGACAAGACGCGGGCTGCCCCGGAGGATTCTCGAGCCGACGCGGGCCGATCTGGAAGAGTGCCCGAGAGGCGCCGAACCCCTTAAGAACTCTTCAGAGTGACGACTGGCGCGCAGGGGGGTAGTGGCAGGACTTGAGGACACGCCCACTCCGTGACCAGTGGCACGGTGGCGGAAATATATTTAGGCTTATGCATTTATATATATATATATATATATATATATATATATACATAGATATAGATATGTGTGTACATATCTATATCTATGTACAAAGACGTATACATGTACATGTTAACGTGTGTATGCATATAAACATATACGGGCATACGGATATGCAAGTGTATGCGTAAATATGCACAATGTGTACACACATATGTGCGCTCGCGTGTACACATGAGTATGTATCCTTCCCCCCCATCACACACCCTCGACGTCATCGTTTGCTCCGCGACATGCTCTCGAGCCCTTCCCCAGGACAGCGTTCCCGTCCCATGCAGTGTTTGCTTTCCGTCCCAGGGCCCGAAGCGGGCCTCGGGAGCCCGAAAACGGAGAATATGCTGACGTCTGTATCGTCTGTGAAGGGATCTCGCGGTCCAGGAAGTCCTGCCCCAGTCCTCGTGGAGGCCCTGCCCCCATGGATGCGACTGCGCGCACGGAAAGGCATTCGGGCGCGGCCGAACCGATCCCCAGCATCCTCCTCCTCCTCCTCCTCCTCCTCCTCCTCCTCCTCCTCCTCCTCCTCCTCCTCCTCCTCGTCCTCATCGGCTGCGCGATGCGACTGTTTCGTTGCTCTCTCCCCGTTCGCGGTCGCAACGTTCCTCGTCGCCGGGCACGACAGCACGTCCACCGCGATCACGATGCTGCTCTACCACGTGGCAATGGACCCCTTGGTCGCCTCCCTCCTGCTTCGGAAGGGGGAGGAGGAAAGAGAAGAGAGGAGCGAGGAGGGTCGCGAGAACGGGAGGAGGAAGAGAGAGGGAGAAGGATTATCCCAGTGCGACTCTACCCAGGAGTTGGAGCCCCTAGGAAAGCAGCATTAGTAGTAACGGTAAATCTAAGCTAAAGCTGAGCTAAAGCTATGCTAATGCTAAGCTAACGCTAAGCTAAAGCTAAGCTAAAGCGAAGCTAGAGTTAAGCTAAAGCTAAGCTAACGTTAAGCTGAAGCTAAGCTGAAGCTAAGCTAAAGCTAAGCTATAACTAAGCTAAAGCTATGCTGAAGCTAAGCTGAAGCTAAGCTAAAGCTAAGCTAAGTTAAGTTAAAGCTAAGCTAAAGCTAACATACAGCTAAGCTAAAGCTAAGACACAGCTAAGCTAAAGCTAAGATAAAGCTAAGATAAAGCTAAGCTAAGCTAAACTAAGCTAAGCTAAGCTACAGCTAAGCTACAGCTGAGCGAAGCTAAGCTAAGCTAAGCTAAGATGAAATAAGCAACGCTAAGCTAAGGGGGCGTAACTGGGGGAACCGCGGGGCGGATCCTGGGGAAACCGCCCGGTGCGTAGAACACTGCCCGGCCTTTTAAGCCAACACGGTAAGAACCCTTCTAGGCAGAGCTTAGGTACGGAAAAAAGAGAAACGATCAGGGACGAGGGAGGAGGCGGAGGAGGAGGAGAAGGAGGAGGAGGAGGAGGGAGCAGGAGCAGGAGGAGGAGGAGGATGCTGTTCTCCCTCAATCCTCTCCTCTCCCTCTATCCCCTCCTCCTTCTCCTCCTCATCCTCCTCCTTCCTCGTCATCTTCATCAGCTTTGCCTTCTCCTCACAAGTCCTCATATTCCTCCTCCTCCTCCTTCGCCTCCTTCTCGTCCTGTTCACCCTCTTCCGACTTAAGCTCGGAGCATCGAACATTCATCACGAACGCGGCGAGGTTATTACCACATGCGAGGTGATCGAAGCCCGCATCCCCCAGGCGCCGTTCCACAAGTCGGGTCCCGACACCGCGGGTACGGACAGGTCGCCCATTGACGCGCAGA